CGCGCACGCTCTCCCACCTCGTTAACATGTTTCCAAGATACTAAACAAAGTCCACCTCATCGACCACACCGCCAACCGGCGCTACCTCTTGGAAAAGACGCAGCACATGGTCGGCGGCTTCGGCAAGCAGCCCGCCGATCCTCCGGACGTCTACCATTCCTATCTCGGCCTCGCGGCGCTGGCACTCGTGGACGAGCCGGGCGTGAAACCCATATCGCCGACGTTGTGCGTAAGCAAAGACGCGTTGAGGCATCTTGAGGGATTGCCGTGGCGAAGGAAAGTGGAGGCGGGTGATGCGGCGAGCGCGCAAGCGCGGGGGACGGATACGTTGGCGGTACGGGAGGGAGCCGTTGAGGGGAAGTATGCGGCTATGAGCGGGGGCTGATGACATCTAGAATTTCCTGTACAGCGCTGAGCGATTACGGCACGGCATTAGACCAGCATGAGCCACTAACGCCAATGCCTCGAAACCCAATATTGGTACTACCACTGTCACGCGTCCTCATCCCTGTCAACGTGACCATCCTGCCCATTGACTTGGACTTCCTTCCTCTTCACCTCAAACACCACAGCCCCGTTCTTCGCCTTCCACTTCCGCCAGTTGCCCAGCCTGTGCTCCTTCCCCACGGCCGCGATGACACACAGCCCATCCGCGCCCCTCTCGCCGCGTTCAAAAACCGCCAGGGCGTTGACAACGCCATTTACGACTTTCTCTTCTTCCGGCGCATCGCCGTCCGCGCCAACGCCCTCCCTCTCTCCATCCATTCCCACGCTCTCGATCCCCTCAACATCCTCCTCATCCCCAACCCCCACCGCCCCCACTGCCTCGATCCTCCGCCTATCCGGACTAACCCTCCACACCCTAACCCGCCCATCCCAGCTCCCACTAAGCACAACATCACTGAACGGCAGTGCCGCCAGCGCCGTGATCCAGCGAGGTGTCGGGCCGGCAGCCACATGTCTTTCCTGCGGCTGCTGCTCCGCCGACGCCTCGGCCGGTCCAAGCGGCGGATCCACTCCATGCGCCAGGGGGAGCGTAAACACGGGCTTCTTCTTGTGGATGGACCACAGGCTGAGGCCGCCGTTGTCGGAGCCCGTGACGAAGGTGTCGGCGTCGATGAGGGCGAGGCGGTCTGTGCTGCCCTCCGCGTAGGCAGGTTCTCCTTTTGCGTGGCCGTTGGCACCTTTGGCGTCCTTGCGCCCTTTGCCCTCGCCCCGGTCCTTCCCACCCGCTCCGCCGCCTCCGCCGCCGCGGAAAACAAGCTGCGACTCTTCGACAATCTTCCACAGCCTCGCCGTCCGGTCCCTCGCGCCGACAGAGATACACTTCTCCTCCCCCAGCGCCGCGATGTCTACGACGCTGTCCTGGTGCCCAAACAGCGTCTCCACGTACGCCAGCTCGTCGAGACTCCACACTTTGATCGTCCTGTCCTTGCTTGCCGAGAACAGCTGGTTGGTTCCACGCCGGAACGCGAGACCTGTCACTGCGTCGCGGTGCTGGGTGAAGACCTTGACCGGGGTCAGGGTGGAAGGGGAGGAGACGTCCCAGATGATGAGGCGCGCGTCCGCGCCGCCTGTTGCGAGGAATTTGCCGGATGCCGAGGCCGCGACGCACAGGATCGCGCGCGTGTGGTGTTGGTAGGATGCGTCGCCGTGGCGGGCGCGCTGGCCGCGGGTGTAGGCTAGTTTCCTCGGTTTGCGGCGGGGTGTGATGTTCGAGTTTCTCGGGGCGCCGTTCTCGGCGGTGCCGTTCGTGGTGTCCGCCGGGGAGGGAGACGGGGCGGATGGGTCCATAGTCTCCCACTTCACGATGCTCATGTCCTTCGCGACGGTGTACATGTAGGGCGCACATGCCGCGACGCCCGTCACGACGTTCTGGTCCGCGCGGGCAAAGGTGTGGGTCGCGGTTGCGAGAGATAGGTCTGAGGCGATGTGTCGGTAGAGCTTGCCCTTTGATTCCGCGACGTCTTCTTTTAGCCGCTCGGCGATGAGGTCGCGGTCGATGTCTGCGGCGTCGAAGCCGGCTTCGTCGACTTCTTCCCGGATGTTCGAGAGGTAGCGCTCTGCGAGTCGGAGACGTCGCTCTGCTGCTGTCTCGTTCTCGGCCTCGGATTCTGATGTGCCCGACTCGTCGACGTCGGGTGCTCGGCGAGGCTCTTCGTCGTCGGTATCCTCGCTGCCGGAGATCGAGTCATCCCGCTCTTTCCGCGCTCTTGTGTCATTCTGCGGACGAGCTGTCTGGGCAGCTGTATTGCGCCTCTTGGACGTGGCGGCGCCGGCGGAAGTATCTGGGCGCTTTCGTTTTCGCTGCGAAGCCGGTATGGTAAAGAAAGAGGACATGGTGGCTGCCCTCTACTCCAAACAGAACAGCTGTTGCGTACCTAGTTCTCTTCTCTCGTCAATTCGCACAGATATAAAAAAAAGCCTACACCTGAGTGACGATCCCCAAAATTTCCAGCGCGCGCACGGACGGGAGCGGGCCCAAGCGGGCGGAAGAGCTGTGAGGCAGCTCCCGTCCGCGTCAACAAGCTATCCAAACCACCTAACAGCTCCACCGACTCCTCTACAGCCTCGTACCCCCCATCTACACCCTCAAACTGCAGTCATGTAGGCGTCTTTACCTTCGGAGACTTCGTACACAAGCTAACATGGCTCAGGGAGGTCCTACTCGGCATCACCGGCAAAGACTTCACCATCATCGCCGCCTCGAAAGCCGCGATGCGAGGCGCAACGATCCTGAAAGCGACGGACGACAAGACGAGGGAGCTGAACCAGCACAACCTGATGGCCTTCTCCGGCGAAGCTGGGGACACGAGTACGTTTCCTATCCTGCCCTACGAGGCTTCCACCTGAGCCACCACCAACATGTCCACCCCTGCAACCCACGGTGGAAGCCCAGCTACAGCTCCAATACTGACACCCGCCCCACCAGTCCAGTTCGCAGAATACATCCAAGCAAACATCCGCCTCTACACGATGCGCAACACGACCTCCCTCCCCCCTCCCGCCGTCTCCTCCTTCGTCCGCAGCGAGCTCTCGCGCGCCCTGCGCTCCCGCCGCCCCTACACCGTCAACCTGCTGCTCGGCGGCTACGACACCATCACCGACACGCCCGCGCTCTACTGGATCGACTACCTTGCGGCATTGGCGAAAGTGCCCTACGCCGCGCACGGCTACGCGCAGTACTACTGCCTCAGCATACTGGATAAGCACCATCACCCCGATATCGGGTTCGAGAGGGGCATGGAGTTGCTGCGCATGTGCACGGATGAGCTGAAGAGGAGGCTGCCGGTGGACTTTAAGGGGGTTACGGTCAAGGTTGTTACGAGGGAGGGGATTCGGGAGGTCGAGTATGTGGATGATAAGCCGGTGAAGAGCGCGTGAGGTGCCCGCCGGTGGGGTGAAAGAAAGAACGGGGTGGGGAATAGTACGGTTGATGGGCTGGTAGACGTGGTGCTTGAGAGTCACCAGGTCTTTTCGGGCTTGCATGCGTGGCGCATCTGGTAGGTATGACAGGCGAGCAAAAAGACTTTTTGACTCGCATATAGAGGATCTGTGAAGACTTCGCAGGGACGGGACTGCAGTGGTCGAGCGCTCGAACGCTTCGCCGCAAGTGTCGCGCTATCAAAGTAACTTCGGCCAAGGTAGCCACGTAGCCACGGCGAAAAGTTGCGGAACAGCAAATCCGAACGCCAACACTCATCCCCATATATGCTCACCGTCTTACAATCTAAGCCCGTAACAATGCGACGCTAACATGCCCAACACTTCATGCTCCCATCATCGTAAGCTCATGTTACTCCCAGTCCGAATTTGCCGTATATACCCCACCACCTGCCAGACGCCATCCAGCAGACAGGTAGCAAAGCTGTCTCCAGCGGTCTAGGATTCCATCTTCCTCTGAATCCAGACACCGACTCATGCCTCCCCCATCTTTTCTGTTTTTCCTTAGCCCCTACGCTCCTCTATCCCCCTCAATCCCCCTGGTACCCCATAAACGGATCAAACCAATCATCAGCATTAAAGCTCAACCCATCAAACCCCTGCGCGACCTTGCTCAACTCGTCATTCCATACCGTATCCGCGCTCGTACTCGTATGGATCGGGCCAAGCAGCGGCGCGGGCTGGTTCGGAAACGGGGCAAAGAGATAATTCGTCGGCTGCTCCCTCGTCTCCCTCGGCGCGAGCCTCTGCCTCTTCTGCATGACCTGGCTCGACGGATTGAGGTAGTTGGGCCGCTTCTCGGGGCGGAACGTGTCGGCCTGGGAGGCGTCGCCGAAGTCGAACTCGGAGAGCGTGTCTTGGTTCTTGTACAGGGCCTGCTCGGCTTCGATGGGCAGGATGATGTTCCATTTCTGGACGAGGCCTTTGATGATGCTGAGGTTTAGCGTCGCCCACTTTGAGCGCGACGTCAGGTCCTGCATGTGGTTGCACGCGGCGGCGAGGTATTTGCCGGATGCGATGGCGGGGAGGTTGATGATGTGGATCGTGCAGGCTGTGAGCAGGCAGTGCAGCTGGAAGGTGTAGATGCCGACCAGGTTGTAGAGATGCCGGTGCTGCGCGAAGATGTCGGAGATGGCGTTCGCGGAGGAGCGGCACACGTCGCGGGGGGAGACGTCGGATTCGGTGAACTGGGCTTTGAGGAAGGGGCGGAAGAGGAGGAGGACCGCGGCGTGGTAGTACATGCTGGGAATAGTGTGAGACTGGATGACATGAGATGAAACAAGACTGGGCCTTACTGCATGGATAGGACGTGCGGGGTGGCGTCTTCCGTTGAGACAAGGGCTTCTGGCAACTTTGCGTACCACTGCGTGTATTTGCGGTACTCTTCAAGCAGGAGATGGCCGCTCATCACCTTCGAAGGGGCGAAGAACATCAACAACGTCGAGTTGACAATCTTTGACAGCTCGGCGACTGCGTGAAACGTGGACGACTGGAGACTGGGTTTCCGCGGCCGGCTGATCCCGTACGCTATCCACTCGCTCTCATCTTCCTCTACCGCTATGGCTGGAAGGTCCACGGTGATGGCATTGACCGGTATCTGTGGTATTCGGCCAAGGGTAAAACTTGCAACCCTGAGAGATTGATTAGTTCTCGCGAGCTTCTTTAGGGGATGCCTTGCACGACTCACTGGTCCGAAATAAAGCAGCCCCAGAAAGCATGTCGTCGAGCTTTTTCGGTCTTCTCCGAGTCGGTTGTTAAAGACTCATTCATCGCTCTATCGCTTCTTAAGTGTAGATTGAGGTGAAGAGCCATGCGGGTGCTTCTGCCGGAGAGCATCCACAAGGCGCTCATGCGGCCTCGGCTGCCTTCAACATGGCACAAGAGGTACAGTGCTGCAGTGGTTGGAATGCTTGGCTGTTCCGTGTCATTCAGGATCTTGACGGCCTCATCAAAGAATCTCGAACCGGCTGTACGGGGATCGAAAGAGTTGTGATCGGGCTCTGTGTGGTTATACAGGAGGCAACCGGCGGCGCATATAGCGTTTACCAGCAGCCGAGAGCAATATTTTGTACGGCCGGCAGCCATATCTTCGCGAAAAAGCTTTTCCGGAAAGCTCTGAAAGAAGCAATGTTGCCATGAAAAGTACAGCGAAAGAAGATACTCGATTAAGTCGCGGTCGTCCGTGACTGTCGTCCATGACTGGTTGTTCAGCGGCGTGTGTGCATCGGGCACTCGATGTTGCTGGTCCTCAAGAGACTGGGCAGTGGGGCCTTTTACGAGCCCAAAATTCTGCTCGCCTCCTGCATACTCCGCCTCGATGCCAGGGCTTGGGTCGGATTCGCGCGTGCTGAGAGGTTGAGAAAGTGAGCCTGTCTTGACTGCTGAGAGGATCGAGGGAACGTTGTTCTCCCTTCGAAGCCGCCCGATGATTTCTTCGACTTCAAGGGGAGTTGCATTCGCAAGCGTCCGGACAAGTTCTTCATATTGCGCAAGACGCACGCTGACTGGCGGGCGAGGACTTGACGTGTCGGGAGTGTCTGGACACCGAATTGTGTCAGTGTACCGATCTAGAAATTGCAGAGTTGTATGACTGAATCACGGCTCACAACCACTGCTGCTGTAAGGGGGCGAAAGTTCGTCGCCCCGGAATTCCGCAAGCAATTGACCGTCACGGATTTGCTGCGCCAGTTGATAATGGTCGCTTGTTTTTAGGCGCTGTAGAACATACGCGGCTTCCTCTTCTGAGCTCCTTTGCAGGGCCATGATGAGTGTCTCTAGTAGGCTTTTCTCCTCTGCGAGATGCTCGACATTGTCTCGCAAATAAGTCAGACGCCGTTGCTCATCGGTCATGTCATAGGCACATGGGCCATCACGAGCCTGGCACTGGGTACAAGTAGGGCGCTTGCCATCGCACTGTTGCGTGTTTCGCTGTTAGTTACGTCTGGCTCATCTATGCTGGGGACCAGCCCGACCTTGGTCTTTCTTTTTCGACATGGAACGCATGCGACGATAGTGATCTTTCCTCTCTTGGCATACTGTGGTTTACTGGGTCCTGGTGGTTCGGAGTCGTCTGGATGTCGGTTTTGTTGGAATGGGTTGGGAGGGGCTGGGATGTTTGGCAGTGGCAAGATAGGCCTGCTCATCATGAAGGTTTCTGCCAACACGGAAATGCAGACAAACAAGGCCTTGTGTGATTCTTTATATGCGAGCAGGAGACACAAGCATCGACTGAAGTGAATTCCATACGAAAAAATTGAGTACCGCCGTCGGGATGGAGAGAGACAATCAGAATGATGGATGATGAAGAGCGGCGACAAGCCCGGTTCCGCGGCGCGGGTAAAGATGGGTATTTGCAAAATTCGATAGACCCCGACGCCGTCGGACTTGCCTATCGTGCCCCGGGTCCTGAGCAATATTCAATCCGGATTTACCCAATGAGAAACAAGACATATTTGGCAGGCAGGGCTGGGCTTCAGAAACAACAAATGGTGGCACCAGACACGCCTCCCGTTTTACAACGGTAAGATTACGCCGGGTACGTCAAGAATCTGTATCGCTATCACGTGATCGGTAGTCATCACAGCCGTTGTTTCAACGTGTCTCCTGCGACTAGTCGCGGATGGCCGTAAGTCATACTCTACTCTGTTCATGACAACTGTCTACTGTAGCACTGAATTCGCTATTAAAACCGTGGGAGGTCTGAGACGGCGTCATGGGCGTCTGCACTTTCACGCTTCCACCCCTGGCAGTTCCATGGGACCGGGCCGCCGGTTCTTCCTTAGCGAGACCAGCATAAATCTTTGCCGGCTCCGTGAACTTCTTCTCTCCTCAGATCAAAAACAACAGAGCCAGCCACGACCACCGCCCTGACTCCTCCACAGCGGTGTGTTGCCAGTCGCATTATGTGCGGCATGGCTCTGGAGACCAAAACGTGTCCCGGATTAGGAAGCTTTCTGCTCGTTGGGTCCGCTTAGGTGCGGGCGATGAGTTGATGGTGCTGAAGATGGGAATACATACCTTACATTTCTGCGTTGTGCTGTAAGCGACACATTGCACTCAAACTCGAAGAACGACGGTGTTCGCTTGGTGAGGATCTGGCTTCTCATGCCTCGTTGCTCTTTCCGGTCCAGCTGTACTGGTTTGTTCAAAGCTCTGCAGCCATGACAACCGGTACTTGCCAGAACTACCCTCCTTTGTTGGCAGCGGAACTATCAGCAGTGGCTCTTGTAACTTACGAGCCCGAGCAAGATCAATAGCATTCTCTACGCGAGGGTGACAGACCGGGCTGCCTAGGACTTCAATCATACAAACATGAAGTCAGGTGTCAAAGTCGCCTCCGCATGGTTCGACAGCCTCGCGTTGATGGTAGCGCTGAAGATTCGAGATTCCGTAGCTAAGGTGCCTGGCAGGATTCGAGGAGTTGTAGGTGCGCGAAGCAATCCACGCTTTTGCCTACAGGTGTAAGATCCGACAATACTTTCGGCTTCCAGAACCTCAGATAGAGCAACGGGAGCTAAGCCCCGCATATCCGTCCGCCCGATATTGACATTGTGGACTACATGAATCAGAGCAAGTACAGACTCGTGCCTCTCGATTTCCCCACAGTTTGGTCTATTGCTTCATTTCCGTCGCAATTCAGTTAGCATCTTAGCAGGCCTCTGAGCCGTATACGATTGCTAGTTCCAAACAACTCTCATCTCTCACAGTACTTCCGCTCGCATCTGCGTACCTAGTACCCGAACCATGGCCGTCAACCTTCCTCCCGAACTCAAACGTGCCGCTGAGCTGCCTCCAATGGTGACCGACCAATACGTCTTCTTCTTCTTCGGCTACGAAGGCCCCGTGCCCGAAGTCTGCTTCCAGCAATGGTACCCCTCACCCATCTACGATACCAGCGACAAAGGCGAACACCTATCCTTCCCGACCTCCGACCACTACATGATGTACCACAAGGCTCTGCTCATGGGCGATACCACCGTGGCCGCCAAAATCCTTGCCGCTCCGCATCCATCGGAGGCGAAGGCGCTGGGCCGGCAGGTCAGCAACTTTGATGAGGCGAAATGGATGGAGAAGTGTGATGCGATCGTGACGAGGGGGAACTATCTGAAGTTTCGGCAGAGCGAGAGGTTGAGGTTGATTCTGCTTAATACGGGTGATAGGGAGATTGTGGAGACGAGCCCGAATGATCGGTTCTGGGGTATTGGATTTGACACAGAGAATGCGGAAAATAACGTGGGGAAGTGGGGAGAGAACAGGTCGGGAAAGGCGTTAATGAAAGTTAGGGAGATGTTAAGGGGCTAGGGAGGGGACTGATGGCAGTTGGAGTCAACTGCTATAGTTAGGCTGGCATGAGGCAACAGTTAGATATCGCTGAACGGAGTCCATGTGCTTATGGTCGTCTACTTTACCTACCAGAGGGCATGGCTTAATACAACCCTGAAGGGATTCGACTCAGCTCAATGAACGTAGGAGTGCTTTTCGACAGCCAAGACGTCTAAAAGCTTAGGTCGATGCTAAGTTCAGCCCTGCGATCGGTACTTAGCGGAGTGGGGGATCAGCCGCGGATGCCGGCCAGCCTCACCACCCAAAAGCTGACCACTTAGGCTTCGTAACCATATCCACATAATGTGCGCATTCCTCCTCCTCCCTGTTTTATCCTTAGACATCTCGCAAGATGTCATGGTACAAATCTCTATCCTATCCTATCCACCGGACTCGGTCACTTCCTAGAGGCCAAGCAGCTTTGTAGCGAGGGGCATTGCGCCCGCATTCGCAATGAGCTCAGATAAGCCCAGCGAGGGCTCGCAGGATGAGACACCTCCGGCGTGTTCATTGCAGCAACGTTACGACTCGCAGAACGCAGAAGCGCAGACAGAGAAGCCAAAGAACGAGGCAACGTCTGGGAAAGAGTCAAAGTCAGACCAGCCGGCCGGAGGCTACGATTCGACCCCAATACCCTACGCGCCGCCGGGCTACACTGTCAAAATCACCTTCCACCGCGCGAAGAACCTTCCTATGGCTGATATGAACTCACTCTCCTCCGATCCGTACATCCTCGCTCAGCTTAACACCGAGCTACGCAGCCGACACAAGGAAGACCCTTGCCTACGGATGCGCACGCCCACCATCCGCAGGAGTACCGATCCGGTGTGGAACTGCGAGTGGATAGTGGCGAACATCCCAGCTACAGGCTTCAAACTCAAGGCGCGCGTCTACGACGAGGATCCCGCAGATCACGACGACAGGCTCGGGAACGTGACGTTGAATGTACCAAGCATAGAGGAGGGATGGGAGGGCATCAGAGAGGCAGAGTACAAGATAAGAAAGCGAATGGGCAGCAAGCGCGCCTATGCGATTCAGGCTGTAGCGAGATGCTTCCAGAAGGCGAAACACATGCATGGATATCTTACCGTTAGCATAGAGCTGCTCGGACGGACGGAAGACAACGTCGGCGGACGGTCATACACAGTCGGGCCGCAGTGGTGGACCCGACACTTTTCACCGCTTCTAGGTCGTATGACGGGTAGGAAAGTGCCTGACGATGGGACAGGTTATAGGAAGAAGACTGAGCGGTACAAGTAGGTTACACTTATCACTTGACTCGAGCGCACAACATCTGACACTTGCACAGCTTCCAGGCCAACCAATTCCAGCTGAAAGGGCCCGTGCCTTATGAGCTCTACCACCGCTACGTCGAATTCAAGCCCTTTGTGAAGGGTATGTTCACTAAGAAAGGGATCCGCGGTTTCCTACTCAGTAAAGCACTGCATCACCAGCACTCGCGCGTGTACAACTTCAATCGCTCGACTCTGTTCGAAACGATCCAAGGACCGCCTTCAAAGGCCATGGCCCTCAAATTCTTGGATCTGGTCCACTATGACCAAGGTGGTCGCATCTTTACCTATGTCTTGACGCTGGACGCCCTATTCCGCTTCACTGAGACAGGAAAAGAGTTCGGCATTGACATGGTGAGCAAACACACCATGCACAGTGACGTGAGCATCTACATCGCCTTCTCCGGCGAGTTCTTTGTGCGACGACTAAAGCGCCCATACCGTCCGCGGCGCCAACAGTCATCGGCTAGCATTAGGGATAGTATTGACGATGGCCACACGCATCCGCCCGAAGATCGCGAAGGCGGTCCCACAGAGGAAGACCCACCGGAGGATCCGAAATACTACGAATTGATAATCGACAATGATTCTGGCACCTACAGGCCGAACGCCAAGCTCCTCCCACTACTAAAGCGGTTCTTCCAGCAACAGTTCGTGGGCCTCAAGATCGTAACGCTCGACTGCCAGGCCGATGCCGAAAAGTTGGGTAAAATGAAGGAAGAGCAGAGCGACCGCAAGGAGAAGGAGGGACCCGGCATTGTGTATACCCAGCTCTCGCGGTGCAGTTCGTTAAGTAGTAGCGATGAGGAGGCGCTTGACGATGTCGAACAAGGAGGACACAATAGCGGACTCATCAACGCGCTAGGGCACGACGCGTCGGCGTTCAAGAATGCGAAGAAAGATCATCTAAAGGTGTTTGGACCGCGCGGTGCGGAGACGCACAAGGGCCACCAGCTCTACACGAACAGCGGAGATGAGTCATTGGACCGCGGTTGATGGGCGCTTGTGGAGCGATGCTTGATCTTCTGCTGGGCGTCTGGTGGTGATTTTCTTCTCACGGAGCGTTTTGAGATACCCACAAGCGCTTCATGCGCACTTTGCGATTTATCCTTAGAGTCTTCATTGGAGCTCGGCCTCAACGAGTGTTCCTCTTTTCCTGAGTCAGAAATCTCAGCCGCACCTTGGCCCTTCTGCTCTCTTCAGCCTTGTGAGTCATCGTTCGCAATACACAAAAGCCGTTGACCGGACGTCTCGATACCTGGTAGAAACAATCTTTTCGTCTTCATCTCACCGAGCTTTCTATCTCCTGCGTCGTCCTCTCTTGCTTCCGCACATTTCAACCATGGCCACAATACCCTCCACAACACTCTCACCCACCACCACGCCGCCCGCGCGCCAGATTCGTGCCCTCTACGATGACGACACCATCACAGTCTACCAAGCCTACTCATCCGCCATCGCCGAGGCAGCCGTCGCATCTCAGCGGCTCGACGCGTCCGCTGACTTCGCGACCGGCATGCGCATGACCTGGATCAAGCCCAGCTGGTGCTGGATGCTGTACCGCAGCGGCTACAGCTACAAAGACGCCCGCCAAGAACGCATCCTCGCTCTCAAGATGCGCCACGCGGATTTTCTGGAGCTGCTGCGCGGCGCCCACGTCAACGAGGGCGACCGCCTACCAGGCAGCTGCAAGGAGCGATGGGAGAAGCACGGTGGTGGCGCAGAGGAGAAGGAGGCCCGGCGGAAGGAGAGGCTGGCGGGGTCGCGGAAGGTCGTGGTGCAGTGGGATCCGGAGCGCAGTCCTCGAATCGGGAAACTGGCGCACAGGAGTATCCAGATTGGGATCTCGCCGGCGCTGGTGGGGAAGTGGGTTGGGGAGATGATTGTGGGGATCGAGGATGTTACGGAGAGGGCGAGGGAGCTGAAGAGGGTGCTTGACGAAGACGAGAGAAAGAAAGTTGGGGTGGAGAAGTTGGTGGACAGGGGATTGGTGCCGCTGGAGAGGGTATACGAAGTGCCGGAGGATGCGAGGAGAGTTCTGGGGATGGATGTAGGGGAGGAGGTGGAAGAGAAAGTGGAGAAGGGGGACAGAAACAAGAGCGTTAAGGGGGCTGCGCAGGATTGTGAACCTCGCACCTGAAACGACCATCGAAACAGAGGAACGCCGATCAATTTCAAATGGCTGTGCGGGTTTATCGAGAAAGCCGCAGTGTAACCAGTCTGAGGTGAAGCAATGAGATAGACGAAGAGCAGGCCCTCAAAAGACGTGTCAACATAAGCGCGATGTTTGCCAATTAGCGAAGGTTGCGATGACATAAGTCTCTCTACGAAGTTCTTGCCAACGTCTATTAAGAAGGGCAATATCCGTAATTCCTTAAGTTGTCTCCGTTGTTCCTAGAACATGTTGCACGTTCGCGGCGAAAGTCGGCATTCCGCGCTTGACATGGTCTATCCAGGTGAGGTGCAAATGTGATGTGTCCTGTAGATCTTGTGGTCACCTTTTCAGGCCTAATATCTGGATACGGCTCTCTCCAAGCTATTCGTGCTCCTAGCATGTCACTGAAAATCATTATGGTTGATTAAATAAGTATGTTTCGAAAATCATTCCTCTACTTCTCACAGTCTTGCAATCTCCTAGCCCTCACTATTATAGCCACTACACCCCTCAACAACCCCAAACGCGCCTCCGCCCTTCCCAAACATCTTCCTCAAATCGTCCACAATGGCATCCGGCCTCTCCCACGCCGCGAAATGCCCCCCACTCTCATGCACGCTTTCAAACACAACCTCCCCCATCCCCTGATGCCACAGCCTAGGCAAATTTACCAGCTCCTTCGGAAAATGCGCAATCCCCAACTTAACGCCAGGGACCCATCCCCCCACTTTCTGGAACAAGTCAGGAATATTCTTGTCGTGCGTAGCCTCATAATACAGCCTCGCCGCGGCCGTCGGTCCCGCACGACTGAACCAGTAGATGCTGACCCACGTGATGACCTCGTCGTCGGTCCAGGGGTAGTCGTCGGTCCAATCGTGCAGCTTCTCGTAGATCCAGGCGAGCAGCCCAACCGGGCTGTCCGCCTGCGCGTACCCCAGCGTCTGCGGCTTCGTCGCCTGCTGCTTGAAGTACCCCATCCCTTCCTTCTCGAACCATTTCAAGCGCTCGAGGCCCGCGCGCTCGGCGGCGCTGAAGGGCGTCACGAGAAACTGCGCGAAGAGCAAAGGGTTGGTGTGAGGCTTGGGCCACGAGGGCGCCGCCGTGTTGATGTGGGAGGCGAGGCAGTGCGTCGGGTAGGCCAGGCCCATGAGGCGCGTTACGAAGTAGCCCGTGTCGCCGCCTTGGGTCGCGTAGGTAGGGTAGCCGAGGGAGAGCATTAGGTTGTGGCAGATTTCGGCGTATTGGGCTGTGCTGAAGCCGCGCTGGTGCCGGGTTTGCGGTCAGTTGCGAGGGGACTGGAAAGGGGGGGCTGGGTTTTGGATAGGGACTCTTCACACCTTCTTTGCGCCTTCGGAGAAGCCGTAGCCAGGGAGACTGGGCGCGACGACGTGGAAGGCGGGCGCCCCGTTGCCGCCTTCAACGAGCGCGGGGAGGATCTTGAGCACCTCGATGAAGCTGCCGGGCCAGCCGTGGCAGAAGAGCAAGGGGATTGCATTCTTGACCTTGCTCTTTTGGTGCACGAAATGGACGTTCAGACTGCCGAAGCCTTCAACGGGGACGTCGGCTGTGTACTGAGAGCCTGCGTCGCGGTTCAGCTGCTGCTCGTGTGTTCGCCAGTTGTAGTTGTTCAGCCAATGATTATGCAGGCGTTTGATGTCTGCGAGAGGCGCGCCATAATCCCATCCAGAATCATCGAGCTCGTCCGGAAAGGTTGTCAGCGAGAGCTTCTGTTTGAGTCGGTCAATGTCCTCTTCGGGGACAGAGATGCTGAACTCCTGGACTTGGGACATGTCCTCCTCAGATCAGCTCCGTATTACAGGCCGGACTCGCTTAATTGTGCTATGTTAGGGTAACTCGCTCGTGAACTCTCGCCAGTTTGACAGCTGTTCCAGAAAGCTACGAAGTAGCCTATTTTATATATGTTTTTCCTAAGACTTACTATAAATAGCACTTATATTTACAGTTGCTATGTTTATCATTAGTGGTGCTGACTGTAAGATTATGAGTATGCGGAGAAAGGTCAGCACGTCATCACTCCCGTCGCTCCATGGTTGAGGTGCCGTCGGGTTCATCCGTATCGTAATCCGGTTCATCCCTCGCATGAGTAACGTCAAGGTCGGTAAATCGGTTAGATTAGAGGGTCGTGGATGTTCACGTTCAGAGTGCACCGAGGTCACTGCACCTTGTACTTCCATCAATTGTAACCAACATGTAGACACGGTCCTTCCCAATCGGGTACTTATTTTGCCTACCATGACCAATGCAGTCAGATCATAACCAAACCAACATACCCCGATCTACATCAAACTCGTCCGCCCACCAACCTCCTTATTCGCCTCCCCATTGGGCATCTCCCCGTTCCTGCCTACCAAGAACTCCCTGTAAATATCCGCCAGTCGCCTCGCCTCCTGCGGACTGATGGACCTCCGCGTCGTCTCGAGCGACTTGAGGATGTGGCGCCACTGGATGACCGGCTCTTTTGACTCTGCCTTGACGGCTGGGTCCTCATTCAGACCGTCTCGTGAAGACGGAGGGTGCCGCTGTTCCTTTACCTTCCGCCGCTGTGCCTGCATCTCGCTCAACTTCGCCGCGATAGCCGCGCGCTCTGTCAGTGCCGCCGAGCTCGTTGGAGCTGTTGAGTCTTGCTCTGCGCCAGTCTCGCCGAAACGGAAGTGGATGAAGTCAGGTGGCGGCTTCGAAGAATTCAAACCATTCGCCACACCATCCATCTTGCCCTGTCCTTTTCCGAGCATGTCTTCAGCAGCATCGCCCAGGACATCGTGAATAGCCTCCAGCTGCGCATTATAGACGACGGCCTGCAAATCAGCGCCCGAGTAGCCCTCAGTCCTGCGCGCAATATCCCACACATTCTGGCCGCGTGCCTCATCCTCCGTCCTCAAAACACTCTCCGCAACCCTCAACTTCCTCGTCACAGCCCTGAGAATATCAACCCGTTCTTTCAGTCCCGGAAGGTCACAAATAAGACTCTTATCCAACCTCCCCGGCCTCAGCAGCGCCGGATCGATCAAATCCGGCCGACTCGTCGCTGCAAGCACATACACGCCGCTCAGCCCCTCGGCGCCATCCATCTGCGTAAGCAGCTGATTAACCACTCGATCCGTCACGCCCGTGCTATCGTGCCCACGCTTCGGCGCGATGCTGTCGAACTCGTCGAAGAAGAGCACGCATGGCCTAGCCGCCTCGGCCCGCTCGAAGAGGTCCCGCACGCTCTTCTCGGACGCGCCGATGTACTTGTTCAGGATCTCGGGGCCCTTGACGGAGATGAAGTTGAGCCCGCATTCGCCTGCTACGGCGGACGCGAGGAGCGTCTTGCCGCAGCCTGGGTAGCCGTAGAGCAGGAGACCGGAGCGGAGGCGTAGGGGGCAGTGCGCGAAGATTGGGGCGTAGGTAGTCGGATATTGGAGCGTTTCGAGGAGCGTTTTGCGGGTCGAGTGGAGCCCGCCGATGCTGTCCCAGCGCGTGGTCGAGGACTGGAGGGTCACGTTTCGGAGAGAGGCGGGAGTGAAGCCCTTGAGGGCGTTGGTAAAATCGTCGCGCGTGAGGCTGAGGGTGGGGGATGATGAAGTGGCGGTGGAGCTGACGGTACGGATCAGGACTTCGCTGCGGGCGCGAGAGGTCAGGAGTACGAGGTCGCCGGGCATGTAGCCGTCTGTTTGGCCGGCGAGGTCGAGGAAGTCTACGTTTGGGTCGATGGTGAAGCCGATGGCTTGGGGGTGCTGATGAGAAGTACTCGGTCTGCTGCCTGAGCTCGCGCCGTGGTGCCAAGTGTGGTCGTCTGAACTGCTTGAGTCTCGTGAGTGCGATACTTTTGGTTCCGTCTTTGCATTTGAAACGCCGCTATTAGAATGCACAAGCTTCTCCAGCACTCTTCTTCGGCCCTCTTTGTTCGGAGCTTTGAGTGCCACGATCTCTCGAACGACGTGGCCTCCGATGATGACGTTGTTGAGGGCTTCCTTGCTTTGCGCTGTCGCTAGCAGCACGACGCCAGAGTCCGTAGAACAGTATTGTCTCACAGTCGAGCAAATGCACTCGCTGATGTGTCGACTTCGCCCGTTCTCGTTGCCAACCTGCAGCTCGGTCTCAGCTGGGCAGAGTGTGTCAAGGTCGTCTAGGATGACGACAGCTCGTCCTCCACAGCGAGCGCCCCAGGAAGCCGACGCAAACAACCTGTTCAGCGTTTCTTTGATGGTGGACACGCGAGTCTCGTCCGTCACAAGCGTCCGACATGGGAAGTAGACGGTGTGGAAGAGGAACTCTTTACGGAGGCGATGGGCGAGGAGATGCGTCAATGAAGATTTGCCGGCTCCAAGCCCTCCTGTCAACAGCACCGAGGACGAGTGGGAGATGTGCGACAGTAGCTGAGATATGAGCGGATCGATGCCCACCATCACCGGAGCTGTGGGCGGCAAGGGTTCTCCCGGTGACCAGCCGTTCGGCGAAGACCTTGCTATCTCAGCCTCCACCTTGATGTTAAGTTTCCGCTCAGAACCTAGTATCCAGCAAGGAGGTGCTTTAGTACCCTCTTTCGGCTGGGGCTGTATCGGATCAAACCTGATGATCCCGCCTGGCCATGGTTGGTCTGCTTTTTCGGCAGGAGGCAGTACCATCCCGTCTGTCAAAGGTCCATCAAGTAGTTCGTTGCCTTCCGGGCCCTTTCCGTACTGAGATCGTATCAATTGCCCTGCTTGCTCTTGCTGCTGCTTGAATTCTCCGCCGAATTTTAGGCCAGCGTTGCTCTGCGAATCAGGAGCTGAGAAAGGGAAGATCCTCAAACCCTTGACACCTGCATCCTTATGGTGATCGGAGCTCGCCGCGATGGATCTCGGTTTAGGTGCCTGAGGCGGCGCACCTTCCAGGCGAACCAGACCGCCAACGAACCCGTCAAATCCAAGGACCTTACAAAGCATACTCGAGAGCGCAACGTGATGACTGTCAGGTGCATCTTCCCAAGCCCCTATGCGAGCTACTACCTTCACTGCGGGTTTCTCCATTTCTGTCTCCTTTTGCGGGTCTACCGGCTCTTGCAAACCTGCCGGCCTGATGATGGCAACGGATACCCAAGTTGCACCTCGGAGAGCCTTCGTAAGCAGGACATCTTGATCCACCCACACGGTAAGTCCGTTGTTGCGCGTGTTCTCGTCGTCCTCGAACCATTCTCCACCAACGGCTCGATCAACACCTCGAAGGAATACTGCGCCGCGAGACTCTTCGCTTCGGCCGCTTTTCCGCCGTACGGTGCTTGCAGCGCTCTTGCCGCCGACGCTTCTTCGACTAGTGCTCGCTACGCTCCGACTCTCTCGCCCAGAACTTCGCTCCGCTCGTTGGCGTGTCTTTGGTGCCACAATAACCTCGGCGCCTGGGGATATCTTCACAAAGGGAGATGATGACGGCGGAGCTGGCGTGAGGGATGTCACGGCGATGTTTGCGGTTGATGTTGGGGACAGGTGAATCGTAAGTGGATGCGGCGCTTGTCGGTGGGCGTCGGAGGACTGGTTGAAGGCTGGGTTTGGTAATGCGCGAACCTGCGAGAGGAAGTTGAGTTCTAAGAACTGAGCATGGAGCTCAATCACTGAGGACACAGCAGGTCAGCTTCCCGCTTTGGTTATGCAACTGTATCGGGTCGATCTTACTCTCCCAGTCTGTGAATGTTAACGGCTCGATGTTTACGGTGTGCGCTTGGGGCGGGTCAAGGTGCAGGATAACTCCAACCTACTAGAACACGTCAGCCAGCGGTATCTAGAGTTCATCGCCCTTGTGGACAAACCTTCTGGCCCTCAGTTATGCCCAACAACCGGGCGAATGTTGCATCAAGCTCCACCACAGGCACATTCTGCTCTCTTCCAGCAGTTGCCCCTCGGCTACCGCTCAAGCCGTCTCTTCCAACTATTGACGCCAGCTTGCTCTTGCTCTGCATACCAGTCCATCCTATAAATATGGACTTCTGACTGGTCGCTATGGCGTTGCCATTACTTGCGCTGCTGGGCGGTGCTGGCTGTCGGTAGCTAAGTTCGACAACGACATTTTGCGCTACCTATATGCCGAAGGGTCAGCACGACCGCAATCATTGCGACCATTACTGCACCCAGGTGCTGCTGCTCACAGTGTTGGCGTTGACAAGGACGGCGACCAGCGAAGATGGCAAATTAACCAGGCAGTTCTTCAGTGTGTGGAGAAGAGCAACCTCCGCCTGGAGTGCTGGCGCAGAAGGCTTCTTTGCTGGAGGGGCCATTATGCTTCAGGGCAGTGAACGAGTATCAGAGCATTGTGTGCGCGTCGCTGTCATAAACATTGTGCGTGTACGCTCGAAGCTCTGTCGAGCGCGGAAGCCGATGAAGATGCGGGCCGAGGCAGTAGGGCATTTTCGCAGCGCGGCTTGGAGGGGAGGGGTTCGTCACTTCCGTGCTATGTAACCCTCCCGTGGCCTAGTCCACGACATGAGGCTGGGTCTCGGTGATCGCACAACAAGGCGAGGAACTGTTCACACGGTTCTCTTCCGCCGCCGCCGTCTGGACACAAAAGCAGAAGAACAACCTCATCTACTCCATCAGGAACAGGATACTCAAGCTCATATCAAGCATCAAGATTTATCACTGCTAAGTCGTCTGTATCAGTATCAGTATCACTTAACGCATGTCTGAGAATGCGAATATATGCTCCCGATGCGAAGCTTTGGAAGTTGGAACTCATAAGGTTTTGGGTCCAGGTGTCCGACGCAATCTTGGTCCACCACGTGTGTGGTCAGTTTCAACATGCGCCATTTGCCGCCTCTTTCACGAAACTTTGAAGATGGACCTGTCAGTGAATGTGAAGGAAATGCGCGAAGACATATCCTTTTACGAGGATAAAGATGGGATCCTTCTCCAAATCGGGACCGGCACACGTTTTATTAGCTGGCGTAACCGCATCGTGGAGATAGACACTCAGCAAGGATATACCGGCAGACTGATTGAACCTAATTTCATCGAGCTTGGTGTTGTCAGAAACTGGATAGAGAGTTGTGATCATCACCATTCTAGCTGTCGCCTTGTCCGACGCAGCAAGCCTCTTGTTCTTCAACTCATCGACTGTCGCTCTCGACGCCTTGTTAAAGGCTCAACACAGTACAGCTACGTAGCTTTGAGTTATACTTGGGGCTCCCAGGTTTCACAGCAGGATCGATCTCAGCAGCAGTATAGGTCAGAAGCCAAAACACAAATAACGGATGGCGATTCCTGCCTGCTACCGGACGAGCTTCCCCAAGTAATCGAGGACGCAATCGCGCTAGTGCTAGGACTCTCATTGAAGTACCTATGGGTCGACCAGTACTGCATAGATCAGGAGAACAAGAGTGAAAAGCATGACCAGATCCAGAACATGCATCTAGTGTACAACTCTGCATATCTCACGATTGTTGCCGCTGCTGGGGACAATGCAGATTTTGGACTTCCTGGTATTGGTCCAACACCACGGTTCAGTCAGCCTCGTGCCACGTTTGGCGGCAAGACTCTCGTATCTCTAATGGAGGAACCAGAAGAGGTCGTCTCGAGATCCCGCTGGTCCACGCGTGGCTGGTGCTATCAAGAGGCGGTGTTCTCACGGCGGATTCTCTTCCTTACTCAACAACAGGCGTCTTTCCGATGCGTCAGCGGCAAATATCTAGAGTCCGGGTTTGGTGTAGAGGTTTACCCCAAGGGGTTCAACTACTTGACACGCGGCGACAACTTGAGATGGCATGCTTCCGGCGACATAGGCTTCCCCGGGCCGCGAGAGTATTTTTATGAAGGCTGCAAAGACTACTGGAGTCATGTGTCAAATTGCAGCTGTCGCCAGCTGACATATGAGAGAGACGTCTTGAATGCTTTTACCGGAGTCTTGAATTGGTTCGGTTCAGATGAACAACGCATTCTCCACCTTCTAGGCTTGCCCATACTCCCATCCGATCCAGGATGTGGATTTCCCATCAGCCTTCTATGGTCTCCATCGTCATGTAAGACTGGAAGGCACGTAGAGTATCTACCCCGCCGCAAAGGATTCCCGAGTTGGTCATGGCTTGGGTGGCATTTGAGGGAAGGATCACCCAACTTCCACTCCGCTATCAATGAGCAGATCCACCAAGAGCTAGAAGATGACATGGGCCTGGGCCCGCGACGGTGTCCCCGGCTTGACCACGGGAGCGAAGCAAGCTTTTTTGTTGAATTGACGGACCAAACGCTGGTCCCGCTCCATGCTATAACCGAGAGCCATCTTTTAGGACTAAATTCGATGATAAATAGCATGTTGGATGCAGAACCTTCTCTAGTTGTCGAATCACCATACCTGCGCGTCCTTGATGTTACTGTTGAAGAACAACACTGCGGAGGGTTTAAATGTCCTTCCAGCGTTCATATTGAGGGCTTTGAAGACGAAGTATTAACTATGGCTGGGGAATGCTACCTTCATGCACCACTAGCATCAAACGCGGGCGACGCAGATGGTTGTCAAGAGTTGATTAAAAAGGGGCTCTACGGACTTGTGTTGTGGAGTGCTCCTGATACCATCGTTGATGATGTGTGGATAACTCAGTTGCTTTTCATACTGCCTACTAAGGTAGATCATACCTACTATCGAGCAGGAACCGGAATTTTGGCAATTGAAGAACACGATGAAGGATGGTTCAGAGAATGGTATAGTTCATCACGACAACAGTTCTGGATTATTTAAGAGGGAATTGTTAGCACCACTAGTGGATTCGGCCTTCCGGTGGTAGAATCAATATATTGTTGCGGTAGTAGTGAGTCGGAAAGCTGCTGCGCTGGATCATTGTGGTAAGGGAGTAGTAGACTTTAAGTCGAAGTCAACTCGGCAGGCTATTGCTTATTGTCTGTTGGGAGGAGGTTCATCGTAGTTTGCATCATTAATAGTGCCTGGCGCATCTAGTTCCATCGTAGGAGGGGTAGCGGATCACATAGCTCTGAGTTAGATCTGCTTCCAAGGTGCTGGGAAGGCTCATTGAGCGAGACTATAATACTATGCATAGTGTAGCAGGCGCCCAGCCAAACCTTGACATTCCCTTGCTATTGACGCGGGGGGCACTAGACATGAGAAAAGCCGTGCGAACCTCGCCTTGCGCCTTCCAGAGCTTTAGTGGATCTGTGCTTGGAATTTTGTTATCCAGCAAACTCCATTTCCTCATCTCATCAGCTGGATGTGATGCGTAACGCTGACTGAGGAGATATCCCGCGTCTCCAACCCTCTAAGCTTGAGTAAAGTTGAACTAATTAGATACAGAACCTCTAAGCTTTCCACTAAGCTTTCCGCTAGCTTACTTATACCCCTTCACAGCGTTCGCCATCCTTACGGCATGTTTGAACGTCTCAAGTAGCAATTATGAGTTCTCTAAACCCACTGAAATCCTAATTTGTGTCTCCTCCAGTCTGTACTTCTTCATTTTCTCCAACTCATCATCGTACAAACCCTTGACATAAGGCAGTGCAAGAGTCCTGTGAGCACCCAAATGTGGTCCATCGTGGACATGTAGGTTATTGTAGAAGGCGATTGTAGATCCGACATTGTCGAGCTCGACGCTGAAGAGGCAACCGTAGCCGGGTTGAAAGTCAGGGGTTAATAGACGCTTGTAGGCGTCGTAGTTTGACAGTGTTGGGGAGGCGGTTGGGTAGTAAATCTGGTTTACGCTGCTCTTAGGGTCGGATATTAGCGACTGTAGGTAGTTGACTAAAAGAGCGGCGTTGTCGTTAAGAATCTCGGAGCGGTGCAGGTAGTCTTCGCTATTATGGAGTAGGATTTCGGCGTCGCCAGAGAAGAGGTCGTTATGGTAGTACTTTTGAAAGAGCGGTTTCAGTTCCGAATACAACGGCGAGGAAGGATTAGGCGCGGCACTGCCGCCCATAACATCCGCATATCCGCTGAAGCTCTTTGTGAGGGATGTAACCATAATGTCCGCTGCTCCCAGCACGTCAACATTGCAGAAGCCGCCAATCGTATCATCAACCACCAGCGCAAAGCCATGCCTGTCAGCCAGTTGTCGTAGCCTTGTAAGGTCAGAGCTCACGAGCAGGGGATTTGACAGGAACTCCGTCCAGACAGCGTGCACTAGTCTGCCTGTGCTCGCTTCGGATTAATTTGTCGAGGGCGTCGAGCTCTATTCCAAGGGGAAGGAACTCAACCCCAGGGCCCCAGTATTCAAAGATATGGATTGTTGAATGGAACGGGAAGCTAAGCATAACCGTCTTTGATTCGGAGCTGCGCCACCTGAGTAAGTATTCATGGACGTAGTATATGACTGCCATCCTAGTCTAATACAAATACACGTCCCCACGAGACACTTTGGCTGGACGAGGTAGGCTAACTAGTGCACGTTCTATCAAGTCCGCGACGCGTTAGTATAGGGCCTAATCAGAAGGAGACTCTTCGTCTGTGAAGCGCACCTCATTCTCTACTAATTCCTGAAGCGAGTCGATGTGCTTGAGACTCTCTTCTACTAGCCTACTCGAAATACTAACACCTGTATTAGTCCAGAATAGTATCACTAGTAGAGTCTTTACTACTAGAAAGAATCTATTATCGTAGTTGTAGTAGGAATAGAGGGTGAACTAGTAAAGTTATAGAATTAATATACTTAATAAAACTTGATTTTCCACCGTACGCTCCTCCGTGCGCTCCTTAGTAAAAACTATAACTACCTCTAAAGTTTCTATAGCAAAAACGCTTATAACGCAATAATAAATACTATAGATTAAAATTATAAAATCTAGTTACTACTTTTCTATATTTACTCTTATACTATTAATATATCTACTTTATAGCACTCCGCGACCGCTAGTATAAAAGTCTTAAAGATTTAAAATTTTAGTTAAGGCTTAATTATAACTATAGGATTAGTAGTTATAGCTAGTATACTATAGCTATAACTAGTACTATAGCTTAGCTATAAAAATACTAACTACTAACTATACTAATTATACTAACTATACTAATTATACTAACTATATATATATTTTAGTAACTCTAATAAGTCTTTTTCTACTATATTAAGTATCTTTTTATCTTATTTAGCTCTTTTTTTTCTTATTAAGTCTTTTTATATTTTATTTATTCTTTTTATATCCTATTAAGTCTTTTTATATCTTATTAAGCTTTTCTATACCTAATTAAGTCTTTTTATATCTTAGTAAGACTTTATAGACTATAGAATACCCTTAAGAGTCTATATCTATCTTATAGCTAAAAAGAAAAAGTATAGTTCTACTAGAAGTTAAACAAGTAACATAATAGAGATAAAAGAGAATACTAGTACTACTATCTATATTATCTCTAATAGAATTAGATAACAGAGATAATAGAGACTATAGGTATAGTCTAAATATATAAATAGTAAGAGTTTCTCTTATAGAAACCTTATACTTAACTTAATATAAGAACCTATATTCTTATAATAAATCCAATTGTTATCTAGTAATATTAATCTATTATTATATCTTACTCTATTTCCTAATATTATTATAGGTAAGAGGTTTGAGTATAGACTTAGGTAAGTAGATTATATATATTTATAGAGATAAAGTATTAAGGCTAGACTATTAAGGTAGTAATAGAATTATAATAATAGGTTATATAAGGCTAAATAATATATAGAATAAGTGTAATGCTACTTAATTCTATAATACAAATTATAGTTAACTGTCTTGCTTATCTAATTGATTTATAAAGATCCTTAAACCTTAGCACGCGCACCCTATACTAGCTCCCATGTAATAAATCTCCTATACTACTATATACCTCCCTCACCTAGCAGCTATTCTATAGCTACTCTAATCCTCTAAATAGTGGTATAGATAAACGCTAAGATTACTAAAGAATCAGAACCTTAAATCCTACTACCGCAACTTACTACTAGCAAGTCCTCTTACTAATAGCGCTACCGCAACCCCCTACTAGTAAGTCCTCTTACTAATAGCCGTTCGGCTTACTACAAACCCGTCCCAATATATTTATCTCCTCTATAGTCTTATAAATAGCTTCTTAATCCGCCTTCTTAAGCTTCTATATAATAGCGGCTACTAATTCCTTCTCTAAAGCTATTAAAGAAGGTAGGACCTAACCTTTAGACCCTTTAATTATACTAGAAGCACTATCCTTAGGCTTCTCGATTATACTAGAAATACCGTTCTTAGATTCCTTAATACTACTAAAACTACCCTTAATAAGTCTCTTAACCCCTCTAGAAACGCCCTCTATGTCACGAACCGCGGCAGATGACGCGGAACAAAGGTGATCAGTGCCAAACGTCACGTGAGGGACTGATCACTCAGGATGCCAAGAAGTACCTGATCAGTGTGATCAGTGTGATCAGGAACGGATCACTCTGATCAGGGGGATCACGGTGCGAGGCATCGCAGTATATAGGCCGCACTGTTCTCGTTCATTGGAACAGTGTGCTCAACTCAAATAAGAATCCAGCATTCTTTGTAACATTGATCTGATCTCACTACGTGACATCAATCCTCACCTTGTTGACCATATCTTGGCACTGTTCCCTATCTCCTTGATCAGGACCCCAACCATCACAGTAACCTTCGTTATCTTGTGATAGCACCTCGTTACACTCTATAGGCTTATTAATAGGTCCGGAAGCACCTTCTTAATTCTCACCTAAGCCTAAACACATAGACTATAGGTTACCTTTAGACTCAAAAGACTCCACTATCTCTTTATTACTAATTAAGATAGGAGCATTTAAATTAACACCTAGTACAATATTACAAAGAAGCTAATCTATCAACTAACTATATAGGGGGTCCGCAACTACTAGTTATATTACAGGAACTATAGGGTAGAGTAACTTATACTATTCGGAAACACTTAGCTTATCCTATATTAATAAAAAAACTAGGCTCTTAACGCTCGCAACTAGTTTATTCTTATTAACCTCTTCTTAATTAGACCTCTTTATCTCGAGAGCCTCGCCCTTAGCCTACTTATCGCTAGTTAGTTTCTCTACTAAAGGCAATCTATAAGCCTCTAGAATTCTCGATAGGAGAAAGTGGGCTATACTACTAGTAATAGGTAGGTTTTAGTTAGGAGTGTTAGAATCTTCTATTAATAGCCTATACTAGGCGGCTATACTTATAACTTCTTAATTATTATAACGAATCTATTAGTCGTTCTTAAACTAGTATCTATCTTCCCCTAACCGCAGGTATCTCCTACTTATAAATAGATTTTCTCCTACTATATTAATAAAAGATAAATAGCGGAAATAGTACTCCTTCATAATACAAAACGTAGTATAGACTATTCGAAACTAATTAAGAGCCTTTTAGTACTACTTATAAAGATACTCTTTGCGGGATATAGGAGTACTAAGTAGTCTTACAAGATCGATAATAGCTACTACGTCTCTCTAGGAGATTCTTTCTAATAGTGCGTCCGAGAGGGGGTCTAGACTATATAATAATACCTCTAGAACTAAGATAGTATACTAAGACTCGAAGATCTCGCTATTACTAAAGATTTTAAGAACTATTAATTATCTTTAAAAATAAGCGACTCTAATATCTTCTATCTCCTTTAGTCTCTACTAAAGGCGGTCCCTATTGTATTCCACACTTAAGTATCTAGAATAGAGATTATTAAGACTTAAACCTCAATTTCTATTAATTAAGAACTTTAGAATAAAAGAGTAAGTAATAAATATAAAGTGCTTATCGCCGCGCTTAGTAATCTCTAAATAAAGTAGCTATAGGTCTTACTATATAAGCTACTAAGGTAATAAGAATATTATATTTAGTAAGTAGAGTTCCCTTATAGAGTTATCCGGGTATAGGTACTTTTATTATACTACTAGTAGTACTAGAGAACCTAATTCCACTCTATTTGAACGCTTTAATACTAAGAATTAATGATACTCTTAAGGCTCTTACCCCTATACTCCGCCTTAAGACTCTTTATAATCTCCTTATTAAGAAGTATCGGGAACCCTTCTATAGTGCCTTTTGACTCAAATTCCGGAAATATAGGAAATACCTACAACCTATAGAACCTCTTAACACATATATCTTAAAAATCTATAGTCCTTTAGTTAAGAAATATACTAAACTAACACTTTAGTTATATAACTAGTCGAGAATTATAAAGACTAATATAAGCGATAAACTCTAGATATATATAAAGAGTTTCAATCGGAATATTAAGTTGTAGTTCTAAAAGCTCGCTAAGTTCCTAGATATAAAAGATGCAAAGTCCTTTTTTAAAGGGCTTAAAATCTATTACTTTCTAGAGTATCTTCTCGATTATTTAGTTAGCTAGATTATCTTATAGCTTTTTAAGGTCGACTCCCTCTACTATAAAGTTAAGAAGTTCTATAGAGACGCGTCTAGAGTACTAGTAGTCTAAGATTACAGCCTCTTCTATAACCGCAGGTCTATATTCTAAAAGCTCCTCCTCTTACTTTATATCTAGCTAACCTATCTCCTCTATAGCCTTACTCTTCTTTTTATTCTTCCGTATAATACTACTACCCACACTCTTATAGTCCGAGCTAGCAACCTCCTTACTACTTATTAGCTAATTCTAGAATCTTATTACGCGTTTTAGTAGTAATAAATCAGGTAACTTACCTCCTAAATACTTCTTACTACCCTTCTTTAGAGTTACTTAAATATTAGCTATAGTAACTAGTAGAAGGAATACTAGACTACCTAGAGCCTTAATAATATCCTAAGTATTATACTCTATTACCTAACTACTAGCCTAGGCTTTAGCATCTACCTTCTTTACTATAATTATACTAGTCTAATATCTTATCTAGTTAAGCTCTTTATAGGCAAACTACTACTTAGCCGCTTTCTAGAGAGTTATCTTAAGGGAATAGTATAGAATATAGTTATTAATAGAGTTAATTACTTCTTCCTTAGAAGCCCTATCGTAAATCTA